TCCTGTAGGAACTTCACCTGTCACAAATTATACGAACTCTGCGCAGAATAGATGAGCCTCCATGTCGATGTCTCCAAAACGCCCTTTAACCTGCAGCATGGGTCGAAAGCTTGCCTTCTGCCTCCTAATCTATCGACTGCTACGGAAGACCAACTGCTAATTCACTAAACTTCCCCACCGACCCATCTTGAAGAAGGCCCATGAGACATGGGCCGAAATGGCGGTATTGGTCAGTCGTCAGACTGACCGAGTATGTTTTGCGTTGTGCATAAGCAAACCACGTTTTCCGTTATTTTTTCGGTAAGAGCACCAGCGCACGAACAAAATATTCCATCTAAATTATATTACGCGGCATTAAATGACGACACTTTGTGACTCACGTGCTTTTTAATGTTAAGCATTGCGCAATAATCCGCTAGCTGGCTTTTTAAATATCAAACAGCAATATTCCCTTGGAAAAATCAATCATTTGTTTGTTACACATCTGCAACAAGAAACGTAATGAAAAAATATGGTGAATGATGTTTAACAATGGTCTGAAATGCAACTGCAACAGCAGGGTCTGCCATATTGGCAAAGTTGTCCAAACTTTCTGTTCTTTAGTTTTGCTTCTTTGTCAGTCGAGTCGGTGTTGCACACGAACGCGCTTATTTATACAGTCAAAACCATGACAAGTGGATGACTAACGCTTCGTCTCAAAAACGCAACACTGTGGTCTTTACGGAACTTCTAATACCATCCAATCATTTACATACACTTCATGCCATGCTGTAATTTCTGTGTCATGACTTCGAACTTGTTTTGAATTTCTTGCAGTGTCACGCGTTTAGCATTTCACGTGTGCACGCTGCTAGCGAAAGGATATTGTAAAAAATGCCTATTTCTAGGTGTTAATATTCCAGGCAACTATCGAAGCAATTGATTCGCTTAAATCGGTTACCAGACTGGTTATTCATAATCACTAATGGCCCTGATATTCTGGGACGACTGCCAAAGATGTCAGTTTCTCGATACCCTGTCAGACAAATATCCAGTCTAATCACACAACGTAATCACACCCTCTCATTTTTTCTAGATGCCTGGTAGACTTTCTCAGCAGATCACGACTCCATGAGGTAGAGTGCCTGCAGTGAGTGCAAGCTGTGCCTCCTATCAGCGTTGGATCGATCAAATAGGCGTTCGAACACGGTGATCTTCTGAATGGGTCCCTTTCGTGAATGTAGATAGTCGTAACAGGTTCTAAGTGGCCACTTCGCACGAAAAGCCAAGTTTGAAAATTTATCGTTTTGGTCTTCAAGCGCAACTTTAGAGTGAGTTGGCCTGGTTTCAGAAATTCTGATTCATACTATTTACGAACAGATTGTTTTTCTGCTCATCAGCAACTCAATTTTCAAAAATTTTAGACTTTGAATTCTTTTTAGGCTACAATTACGCCAGTCACGTGTCTATGGAGTCGATGTGCTTCAGGCGATACCATCAAGTTTTCTACTCATTTAGTTTTTCGATCATAGAACAGGCAGTCAATCGAAATTTTCTAGAGACTAGTCTCAACAGATTTGTTATTTAAAGCAGTGAATGAAACTCTTAGTTTTGATGGCGAAGG